TAAGCTGGAGTCTGCAAGCCGAGCGGGAGGTCTCTGGGCACGTGATGGGCAGCCAAGCAGTGCTGCAGAAGAAAGTCCCTGACCTGGGGTGACCGTTGAGGGCTTCCTAGGCAGACCTCCCTCCACCCCCACGTCCACCCCCCACCCCCACTGACACACTTCATCATTTCAGGACAGGGATCCAGTGGCTTCATGCTCTGGAGCTGAAGGCGAAGAAGGGACCTCAGGCAGGCAGCCGGGCACTTGGGGACAGGGCAAGTCAGGAGGAATCTGCCTGTTCTTTGGTCACTCTGCAGGAGTGCCTTCCCCTTTCTGAGTGATCAGCCCTCCGGCATGGGGTGGAATTGAGGACAGGATGTGGTAACAGGCCTGGGGCCTGGGACAGGCATCATGAGCCCAGGAGCTCCAGGACTGATAGCTGAGTCTGCAGGCCAAGCTCCATCTCCCCCCAACCCAGGCTGCCCCTACCCACCCGCTGCCCCTTTCTCCTCCGTTTTCTCTTCCTCTCTCTTCTCTTCCCTTTCTTTCCCGTGTGGCCCATTGTGTGTCTTCTCTATTTCTGTCACCTTTCCCTCTCCTGCTCTTCTGCTCATTTCTGGGGGGCAGAGCTGGATAGGGCTGTAGGCAGATGTTCTGACGCCCTCAGCCCCCTTCCCAGGTCAGCCATCCCTCCTCACTCCTGCTGCAGACCCAGTCATAGATGCGGAGCCTGTGATGGTGCACACCCGCCTCATGTCCACGTGGGGCGACAGCCCGCTGCAGGTGCTCAGGTCCCACAGCCGGGCTGCCCCCCAGAGGCCCTGGCCCCTAGCCATGGCGGCGGGCGCCTCCCTGCCGGGGACCTCATGCCCATGTGTGCTGGGGAGCCCTGCGCTCCCTGCGGAATGCTGAGTGGGAACACCATAAAATATTGATACTATAAACCTAAAATAACTAAACCTTTCATTCTGCGCTGCAGCCGACCCCAAATGAGGTGAGATTCTAGCAGAGACGGTGGCAACAGGCGCCGGAGGAAAAATTCAGCATGTTCAACACTCACAGTTGAGGAAAGGCTTTTGTGGGGATTGGGGCACAGGGTGCCTACTTGCAGGTATCCAAGGATCGGTGCCTGCCTTGGGCCCGGGGCCTCACCCACTGCCCTGACATGCCTTACCCTCCCTGTGTGTCCAGAAGCATTCACAGCCTGCAGCTCTTGGGGCAAGCGAGTGGACCAGGAGGAATGGAGCTTTCTGGCCTCCTCATTTTGTGCCTAGGCCGGAGGGCAAATGAATTCCCTTTTGGAAGCCTGAGTTCTCATCTGTAAAATGGCTAAAAAAAAATACCTTTTTTGAAATCTACCTTATGAGACGGAGTGACCCCTGTCCTCCCTCCCCAAGTCCACTCCCAGGTGATCCCATGCCCCTCTTGTCCCCATCAGTCACCTGTCCCATCCTGAGCCCCACAGGGGACAGCCCCATGGTGAGACCTTTCAAATAGATCCTTCCAGCCCCAGTGGAACTGCAGTTTGGGGCCTGAGCCCCCACTCCTCTTCACCCCTAACCAGGTTTGAGAATGTTGACTTTCTAGCTGGAAGAAGTCAGTGTCTGCTGTGGGCTCCCTCAGGGAGCCTGGAATCCACCCTTCACTGCACAGTGGAAGAAGTAGCCCAGAGAGGGCAGGCTGTGCCCGAGGTCACACAGCAGAGTGGCCAGTCTGGGGAGCAATGGAGCCAAGCAGTTATGCCCTGGCATATGAGTGAGAGTGTGGTGGTGGTGCGGCCCTCTGCACACGTGTCTGAGGGCTCCGCTCCCCCCATCACTCCGGCACTGGGAGGACTCAGGCTGCTGTGCGCTCTGAACATTGTGCCCCGGGCATGGCTCTCCCTTTGTCTGCCCACCTGCCTGCCTTTGATGTTTATTCCCGTTGTATTTATTGGTCCAATTTTTAGACTCTTGCCTTGTGGGAAGCCCTTCAGGGGGCAGGAGTCCAAAATAAAACGCTGATTAAAATGCATAAAACACTTCTCCTTTGCCATTGCAGGAGTGACCAGCAGGGTTCACGGTGCCAGAAAGGCAGGAGCGACACAGTGCCCATCAGCAGCTCTGGTGACCCCTGCAGACACAGCCCTGTCCGCACCCCTCGATGACAGGGACCCCATAGGGGTGTGAGACTGGGAGACTCGGGCCTGTGTGCCGACTTGGGCAGGCATCTTAGCCTCTCCAGGCCTCAGTTTCCCCCCCTTTCAGGACAGCCACATGTAAAAGGTGAGGGATGAGGCAGTTTGGGGGTCTTGCCCTCCTGAAGCTGTCTTGGTCCTGTGGAGCGTGGCCTGTTGTTCTGCGGGTCTCTCTGCCAGGTCAGGGGGTCAGGGGGTGGAGGGTGGAGGGCAGCCATGCAAGGCCATGCCAGTCAGCTTTTCCATCAATGGATTTGAATTCCCCAGGTCCCTCACTGCTCACTCAGAGGGCCCTCAACCTCTGCAAAAGCTCTTGCGCACACTTTGTCTGTCCAAGAACATCACCGGGGGCTGTTCTGTGAGACAGAAGCACCCGTGACTGACCCAGCATTAAACATACAGGCACAGCGCCAAGTGCTGAGGCTTTGCAGCATATTTCCCTCTTTGTTCGGGTTGCCAGGAAGCTCACCCCTTTCGTCATTATGCAGGACTCAGTGGTATTCTTCCCTCGTTGGCTTGCTTTATCCTTTTATCGTCTTGTGGCATAATATTTTCTGTCAGTTGGCTCAAATGATTTTTAGAATGAGGTGTATGCTATACAGCGGTTGCATAATGTCACTACTAATAAGTCTAAGATGCTTCGAAGTGATGGGAAAAAGATGATTTCTGACTGCGTAGGTTACGGATGGCTTCCTGGAGGAGGTGGCTTTTGAGAAAGGAGGTCATAAAGGCCGCTGGGGCAGGAGGCTGAGAGCGGTCTCCAAAAGGATGGTTTAGAGCCAGGACAAGGTGGGGACACCTGGGTGGCTTCATGGGGCAGACTGGTGGGAGATGCGAACATGGGTCAGGGGGAGGCAAGGTGGTTGGTGGTGGTGCTTTGAATGCCTTATTCTGGTGTGTGTGAGAGGTTTCTGAACATCTCAGGTGACCTGTGCCCTGGCTGTCCCCCCTCTCGGTCCTCAGCCCCCTCTCCAGCAGCCTCCACCTCGCCCACCAGCCCAGCCCTGAGCTGGGCGCTCAAAGTCCCATTTACCTCCCCAGGTCCCCAGCCTCACTCCCGCACCAGCCCCAGCTGCCGGCCCAATTACGTATCGATCGCCTGTCAGGATGTTTGCTTTTCTGGTGGGTCACTGGGGGAGCATGTGTGGCTGTGGGAAATGGCCTGGTGGGGGTGGGGTGGGGGAGGCTGAACCACAGAGTCTAGAGAGAGGATGAGAGTGTAGGGGTGGTGCTGGGAGAGTTGAGGTAGGGATGTGGGACCCCCCCAGCCTGGGCTTCCCCTTCCTGCAGTGAGCCCCCCTGGGCGCCATGTGTGTGGGGCGTGTGAACAGGCAGCAGTCAGGCTCTGGTTCAGCCCCTGGGGCCATCTGGCCCACCCTCTGGAGTTTGGAGAAGTCCTCCTAGCCCCCTACTTACCCTGCTGGGCCAGTTTCCCAGGCGGTGGCACAGAGGAGGGACGGAGGAGATGGGGAGGCAGTCTGGGCACAAGTAGGAATAAGTCGCCTCGCAACACGGCTGGGAGAGGGTCATGGGGGGCTAGCTCCCACACACCCCTTGCTTACTCCTCTTGCAGCCTGCACTCAAGCTGGGCCCCCCTCCTGGTGCCGTTACCCCTGTGAAAGCCACCCAAGCCCTGCATGTTCCTCAGGGCCCAGCTGTGATGAGCCTCGTGTCCTCAGTGCTGCAGCGGGGACTGGCCTCTAGCTAGCGGCCCGGCCCGTGGCCCTGACTGTACCCACCTCAGACCAGCAGCTGCACAGAACCCTGGCTCTAGGAGGGGTGTGATCGGAACTCCGAGACACAGACAGATGAAGTCTGGTGGCCCTTCATCTCCCCCTATCTCCCCCTGGGGGTCAGAAAAATCTTCTCGGAGCAGTAGATATTAAATCAGGCCATGGAGATGGGGTTTCAACAGGCAGGGGAAGGGGCATTCTAGGAAGAAAGAACTGCAAGGGCCAAGGTCAGGAACAGTCGTTCACTGGGCCCTGAGCCCTGAGCTCGGGAGGCCGGGGGGGTCACAGTGGACCTGGAGGAAGGGGAGAGTCGGAGAGACTCCACGGCGAGGGGGCGGGCATCAGGGCAGAGTCCCAGCTTTCTGGCTGGGGAGCCCACCACTGATCAGGAAAGCCCACTGGGGAGCAGATTCATGAACACGGGCAGGTGCCACTGGGTTTGCTGATATCCCAGGGCTCTTGGGCTGGGGTTCAACTGCAGTGGTGGTGAGGAGAGGGCCATGGTGTCTGTGCCTGGGGAAGCTCAGGCTGAGAGGGTGACCCCCAGCAGCCTCAGGAGCCCTGGCCTGGCAGGCTGGGGACCAGACATACTCCTCTGCAGGCTGTTCCCGGAGGCTTCAGCCTCTGAGCCCTTTTGATTCCCTCTGTGAGTCCTGAGGGCAACTCAGCAGGTCTGGCTTTATCCCTGATGAGCACCAGGGGAAGCTGAGGCTCAGGGTGTGCGGTGGGGTATGGGGTGCATGCCTGGATCACATTGCCTATGAAACATAAAATGTAAAGGAGGTGGACGCCACCTGGGGTGCCAATGCCAGGCTCCTCTTCAGTGCACCCCACCCCCCATCCCAGGGATGCTGGGGAATTCCTTTGGGAGGGCTCTGGGCAGGGTCAGGAGCACGGAGGAAGCAGTGTGGGGTGGCAGGAGACTCTCTGGCCTGGGTGTCTGGATCTCACTCGGGGGTCCTGGGTGGGTGTCCTGTGCCACTCTGGGCCCCCCACCCCCGCTCTCTGTCTGTGTCACTGACCCCCTGACAGGGCAGGAGGGCCCAGGGTGGGGCCGGCCAAACACGGTCCCCTAACCGCCACCTCTGTCCTGTGCTTGCTCCTGGCTGTAGGTGAGCGAGAGGATGCTGGCGGGGGGCGCGAGGAGCATGCCCAGCCCCCTCCTGGCCTGCTGGCAGCCCATCCTCCTGCTGGTGCTGGGCTCGGTGCTGTCAGGCTCGGCCTCCGGCTGCCCGCCCCGCTGCGAGTGCTCGGCCCAGGAGCGGGCCGTGCTCTGTCACCGCAAGCGCTTCGTGGCGGTCCCTGAGGGCATCCCCACCGAGACCCGCCTGCTGGACCTGGGCAAGAACCGCATCAAGACACTCAACCAGGACGAGTTCGCCAGCTTCCCGCACCTGGAAGAGCTGGAGCTCAACGAGAACATCGTGAGCGCCGTGGAGCCCGGCGCCTTCAACAACCTCTTCAGCCTGCGGACGCTGGGGCTGCGCAGCAACCGGCTGAAGCTCATCCCCCTGGGCGTCTTCACGGGCCTCAGTAACCTGACCAAGCTGGACATCAGCGAGAATAAGATCGTCATCCTGCTGGACTACATGTTCCAGGACCTGTACAACCTCAAGTCGCTGGAGGTCGGCGACAATGACCTCGTCTACATCTCCCACCGGGCCTTCAGCGGCCTCAACAGCCTGGAGCAGCTGACGCTGGAGAAATGCAACCTGACCTCCATCCCCACCGAGGCGCTGTCCCACCTGCACAGCCTCATCGTCCTGAGGCTCCGGCACCTCAACATCAACGCCATTCGGGACTACTCCTTCAAGAGGTTGTACCGGCTCAAGGTCTTGGAGATCTCCCACTGGCCCTATTTGGACACCATGACACCCAACTGCCTCTATGGCCTCAATCTGACCTCCCTGTCCATCACCCACTGCAACCTGACCGCCGTGCCCTACCTGGCCGTGCGCCACCTGGTCTATCTCCGCTTCCTCAACCTCTCCTACAATCCCATCAGCACCATCGAGGGCTCCATGTTGCATGAGCTGCTGCGGCTGCAGGAGATCCAGCTGGTGGGTGGGCAGCTGGCCGTGGTGGAGCCCTACGCCTTCCGCGGCCTCAACTACCTGCGCGTGCTCAACGTCTCGGGCAACCAGCTGACCACCCTGGAGGAGTCGGCCTTCCACTCGGTGGGCAACCTGGAGACGCTCATCCTGGACTCCAACCCGCTGGCCTGCGACTGCCGGCTCCTGTGGGTGTTCCGGCGCCGCTGGCGGCTCAACTTCAACCGGCAGCAGCCCACGTGTGCCACGCCCGAGTTCGTCCAGGGCAAGGAGTTCAAGGACTTCCCCGACGTGCTCCTGCCCAACTACTTCACCTGCCGCCGCGCCCGCATCCGGGACCGCAAGGCGCAGCAGGTGTTCGTGGACGAGGGCCACACGGTGCAGTTTGTGTGCCGGGCGGACGGCGACCCGCCACCCGCCATCCTCTGGCTCTCGCCCCGCAAGCACCTGGTTTCGGCCAAGAGCAATGGGCGGCTCACAGTCTTCCCCGACGGCACGCTGGAGGTGCGCTACGCCCAGGTGCAGGACAACGGCACGTACCTGTGCATCGCGGCCAACGCGGGCGGCAACGACTCGATGCCGGCCCACCTGCACGTGCGCAGCTACTCGCCCGACTGGCCCCATCAGCCCAACAAGACCTTCGCTTTCATCTCCAACCAGCCGGGTGAGGGAGAGGCCAACAGCACCCGAGCCACCGTGCCTTTCCCCTTCGACATCAAGACCCTCATCATCGCCACCACCATGGGCTTCATCTCTTTCCTGGGCGTCGTCCTCTTCTGCCTGGTGCTGTTGTTCCTCTGGAGCCGGGGCAAGGGCAACACGAAGCACAACATCGAGATCGAGTACGTGCCCCGCAAGTCGGACGCGGGCATCAGCTCCGCCGACGCGCCCCGCAAGTTCAACATGAAGATGATCTGAGGACGGGGCGGGGCGGGCAGGGACCCCCGGGGCAGGCCGGGCAGGGGAAGGGGCCTGGCCACTGAGCGCTCGCTCCTCAGTCCTTCCCGCCGTTCCCCTGGCCCTCCACACACACCCCTGTTCTCTGCGGCTCCCCCCCACCCCCCACCCCCTGCTGGCCCTCACTGCCTGCCCTCTGTCTACCAGGACCTCCGCAGGCCAGGCCTGGGGACCCCACCTGCACAGGGCCACACGTTGACAGACTGGAGTCGGAAGCCGACAGACCGACATGCGGCACAGTCAATAATTCAATAAAAAAAAGTTACGAGCTTCCTCTGTAACTTGGGTTTCAATAATTATGGATTTTTATGAAAACTTGAAATAATAAAAAGAGAAAAAAAAAAACCTATTTCCTATAGCTAGTCGGAATGCAAACTTTTGACATCCTGATTGCTCCAGGGCCCTCTTCCAACTCAGTTTCTTGTTTTTCTCTTCTTCCTCCCCCTCCTCCTCCTCCTTCTCTTCCTCCTTTCTCTTCTCTTCCCCTATGGGGAGGGATCACTCAGGAAAACAGGAAAGGAGGCTCCAGCCCCCCTGCCCGGGCAGCTGACAGGAGCGGGCAGGGCGGCAGGTGCGGGCCCGGCTCTGGGCTGGCCGTCTGCAGGGAGCAGGCGGAGGAGACAGGGCTGCCTGGTGGGGGTGGGGGCTGGTGGCCAAGCCGCCGGGAAGCAGTACTGCTGGGGGTCGGGGGCCCGACTCGGGTGTGGCTGAGACTCTGGACAGGGGCTGGGGTCCTCCTGCAGGACGGCACAGTCAGTGCAGAGGGCCAGGGGCTGGAGGCAGGACCGAGGCCTAACTTCTGGTCCCAGCTCTGCCACTGACTTACTGTGTGGTTTCAGACAGGTCACTGACCCTCTCTGGGCCTCAGTCTCCACATCTGTACAAATGGAAACGTGACCCCCCGCCCTGCCTACCTCACAGGGCTGTTGTGAGGAATTGATGAGATGATGTATGTGAAACACTTTGTAACCTGTAAAGCGCTGTGCACATGTGTGGGTGACTGTTCTCATTATGGTCATTATTATCTCACCATGGGGGGAGCGTGGGGTCAGGCTTGGGGGCAGATCGGGGAAGGGCCGCTGGCTCCAGGGACTTGCAGAGGCTCTCCTTAGAACAGCGGCCCGGGCCGCCGCCATCCGATGAGCCTAGCCCGGGCTCTGAAGAGCCATGGGTGTGGGAGCGGGGTCCACTGCACTGGAGGTGACCTGGAGGGTCAGACGCCACCCCGCCCGCTCACACCAAACCGGGCCGCTCCAAACTCGGCCTTGGGAAGGGCTGCCCCAGATGACAGAATTGCCAAGGGCCAGTCCGGTCGCCCTGTCACCTTCCCTGACTCCGTGGGCCCTGACTCAAGAGGCTGGGGACTAGCTCGGCCATCATCTCTGTCGGGCAGGGAGGGCGCCTGTTGGTGTGGAAAAAGGTTGATGGTCCCTGGGGAGCAGGCTAGACTAGTGATTATGGGCTCTGAGCTCTGAGCTTTGGGCTTGAGGTCCTGTTCTAGCACCGGCTAGCTCTTCAGGATTGTTACTTAACCCCTCTGAGCCTCGGTCTGCTTCTCTGTCACATAAAGATGATCTTACTACTTTTGGTCATTAGGACGTTAAATGAAGGAGCATAGGTGTATTTGTTGTTTGGTGTGGTACCTGGCACCCATTAAGCCCTCTACTGGTGCTGGTGGTGATTCCTATCAAGGCCAACTCTGGTGCAGATGCAGAGGCTGAGGACCAGAGAGGATGGTAGCATATCCAAAGCCACAAGGCTAAGTGATAGGACCAGGGCCTGGGAGTTCCAGACTCCCAGAGCCACAGACTCCTAAGCCTGGCTTGGGACTTCTCAGAGCCAGGCCTGGGGACCCCCCCCCCAGCAGGAGACCGCTTTGGGGAGCACAGGAGCAGAGAGGGGAGTCCTTGGGCAAGGGGGTGGCTTGTACATAACAAGAGGCCAGTGGTATCACATGAGGCTCCAAGAACCTGATAGGCCTGCTCACCTCCAGAGAGAGACAGGCACACAGCCTGTCCATGGCCCCAGCCCTAGATACCTTGTTGGGCACCGTTCTCCCTCAGGAGCCAGCCCGTGGGATTGTTACTTACCCCTCTGAGACGCCTAGGGTTTCACAAGCTTCTGGTAAGAGCAAGCAGTTCAAGGGGCCAGTTTATTCTTGGCTACTTCGAGGGAACTGGACCTCTGAGGAACTTCAAGGACACAAGAAAATTGTGAGGTTGTTTTCAGATAGGGGAGAGAGTCCTTTTGGGGGAATGTGAATGCTCAGGGCAGGAGGCTGGGTTGGCCCAAGCAAAGGCAGCCTGGGTTTTAGAGCAGCCCCTTCCTAGGCGTGGGACCTCCATCTATCAGATAGTCATGAACTCAAGAGCCCTGCCAGATTGAAGGGGGAATGACCTGCAGAGTCAGACGGCAGCAAGCACCTGGTCACCACCAGCCCGCCCCCGCCCCTGGTGTACTCCTCACCAGTGAGAATTGGGGGCCCGGAGAGGGGAAGTAACACATGCAGAGTCACCCAGCAGAGTGATGGATGGGGCCTGGGCTTTGGGGTCAGGCAGACCTCGGGTCCAGTTCCATCTCAGGTGTGACAGTTGTTTGCTGCTGTACGATTTTCACCACCATGGCATCCTTACGGAGAGGCAGGGAAGTGGCAGGTATACTCAGGAATGGGGAAGGAAAGGGGCCGGACGGGGGACAGTGGGAAACAGGGAGCTGGAACTTCAAATGAGACTGGGGTAGAAGCCAAGCCTGGCGATGTCCTCTGATTTGCCACGGAAAGCCTCAGGGCTGTGTGGGAGGATGGGAGCAGACGCAGGCCATCACTGCAGTTTGCCCAGGACAGAAAGAGTGGCCATGCTCTGGGGCCCTGGAGGACAAGGCCTCCTCCTGCGTGTGTTTGCAGGGATGGAGGTGACAGGGAGCCAGGGAGAAGGGGTCAGAGGAGCAGTGTAGACCCTGGCCAGTATTAGGAGTCCTGGGGGACCTTGAGCCTTTTAGGGCCTGAAGTCAAGGTTCATGAGGTATAAGGAGGGAGCGCAGCACAGACCATCTGGAATTAAGTGATTTATTGGGGACCTCACAGAACCTGGTTCCGTGGGCTATCACCTTTCCTGCTTCTCTCCCCAATATTATGTCCTCTGATAACACAGGGTTAAAAGTCACCCCAGCTCCCATTCCAAAACCCCAACTCCAGCCTCTTTCAGAGTCTGGCTTGCTAGGGTCTCTGATCTCTTCATTCAGTCTCCTGAGGAGAAGAATCTGATTGGCCACCTGCCAACCAATGGATTGGCTGCCCTAAGTCAGGTGCTCATCCCTTTATCCAATTAGCTGAGGCCAAGGAACTCAACCGGCTCTAAGCCAAGTTTGGGTGAAGATGATGCGGAAAGACCTATCAGGGACCCTATCAGTTATTTATTGCTACATGACAACCACCCCAAAACTTAGTGGTTCAAAATAACAAGCATTTATTTGCTCCAACGCGCAACCTGGGCAGGGCTTGGTAAAGGCAGCTCGGCGCTGCTGTGCGTGGTGTTGATTAGGGAGCCTTGACTGTGGCCGGAAGATCCACAGCGGCTTCTGGCCAGGGCTGTCTCAGCAGGGGAGGCCGGAAGGGCTGTAGGCCAGCCTGCTCCTCCATTTCCCTGTGGTCTCTCCAGCAGGCTAGCTGGACTTTTTCATGGTGGCTCGGCGCTCCAAGACGGCAAAACGGAAACTGCCAGGTCTCTCGAAGCCTAGGCCAGGAATCAAGGCAAGTCACAGGCCCGCCTGGCTTCGAGGGGAGGGAGGACAGCCTCCAGCTCTTGGTGGGAGGAGCAGTGAAGTCACAGGACACAAGGGCATGCAGGACGCGAGGGTTAGTGCAGCCACCTCTGGGGACCTCCACAGGGACCTCAGAGGCGCCTTTGTCCTCTTAGGAACCACTCATTGGCACACAGGCCTCTACAGTTTACCTGGGAGTAGGGAATTAGGGAGTGAAGATGACTGCCCCACAGATGGGTCTCTAGCTGGTAAGGAAAGAGTCAGGACTTGAACCAAGGTTGCTGCCCCTGAGCAAGTGTCCCTTTGAGCAGAAAGGAGGTGGGGGCTCCCCTGGAGTTATATGGCAATAGTAATAGTCATCACTGCCCACAGTCCAGACGCTTCCCCTACATTGTCTTTTTTTTTTTTTTTTTTAAGTAGGCTCCACACCCAGCACGGAGCCCAATGTGGGGCTTGAACTCACGACCCTGAGATCAAAACCTGAGCTGAGATCAAGAGTCTGACGCTTAATCGCCTGGGCCACCCAGGTACCCCTCACTTATGTTGTCTCATTTAATCCCGCCACAAGGAGGTTCTAATCTCCTTTTCCGATGAGAAGGCAGGCTCAGGGAGAAGTGACTGTCCCGGGCTCCCCACCAGGGAGGTGATGAAGCCCAGATTCCTACTCAGGGTGCCAGGACTTCACAGCAGACAAAGCACCAGACTGGGCCCCTCACATTGAACCACCCTGGAACCAGGCTTCTCCTGTGTGGATATGGCCACAGCCGTGTCACCTCCCGTGGCCGCCTTCCTTTGTGGGCCGGGATGGGTCGGTAGTGGACCATGTGCTGTGGGACAGGTGGGTGAGTGCAGGGGCGGTGGGGGGGGGGGCACGATCAAGGCTTCTACCAGTCCTTTCCCCTCCCAGCCCCCAGTCCACCTGGCCTCTCTGTGGGACCCAGAGGCCCAGCAGCCTGTTGTGAAGACCTGCAATCTGGCCCTGGTACCTACTGGGGCACTGGGTACTACTGGGCGGGGGTCCATGTAGCGCAGCCCTGGGGGTTTAGAGCCTTCTCCTGGGGGCGCCAGCTCTGACTGCCCGAGGTAGTTGATTGCTCAGCCTGTAAAGGGATTTGCAGCCTCCCCATAAACTATTACGGCTCATGCTGTGTCCCCAGCCCAGGCCCTGTCATCGTGCCGGTGGACTGCTGGTGTCTGGGAAGGCTAGGGTGGTGGGTCCTTTGGGAGCCATGGAGACTAAGCATGCCCCAGTGTCTCATCTCCCAGTTCCATCATGCCCCAGCCCTCATGCCAACCCCTGCCCTGGATGTGACCCCAGCAGGGACCAGGGCCTGGCTCTTCCTCAGCCCCTCCAGCTATATCCCCCATCCCTTCACTCTTGGTCTGGGCTGTGACACACTGCCCTGGAGAAAGCTCATCCTGGGGATGGAGCGGCAGAATGTTCTGGAGCAAGAGGAGGGGGAAGCTGATGGCAGAGGAAAGAAAAAGCCAGGCAGGAGGGAGGATGGGTGGGATGACCACCACGCCAGGTTCCCAGGATCCAGAGCTCAGCCCAAGTGCCATGACTAGCGTGACTGTCTCCCTGTTTTGATGATGAGAAACATGAGTCTCAGAGAGGCTGAGCCACTGCCTGAGGCTGCACAGCTAAGCAGTAGCAACTTGGAAAGCACACACACAAAAAATGTTCATTGTGCTCCCATTTTGCAGATAAGGAACTGAGATTCAGAGAGGGGAAGTGACAGGTCCAAGGCCACAAAATGAATGAGTCAGTCGTAGCACCAGCTCTGACTCAACTGAACTGGGGGCGGCAATAGGCAGGCCACTGTTGTGGCCTCCAGAAAGATTTCCCATGGGAGACACAGGGTGAGGATGGCCCAGGGGGGCACCCAGCCACAGAAGAGCGGAGCAGCTCGAGGCCCTGGTTTGCTCTCTAACAGGCATTTACATAGCTCATGAAGAAATACAGCGGTGTAAACAGGAGAGACACAGGCCCAGTAAAGCCGCATCTCCTTTGTCTCTTGCCTGCCCAGAGCCTCCGACAGGACACTCTAAGGGCGCAGGGCGCAGACCTGGGTGGCAGCCCCCAGAGCTGGGATTGGGTGTCTGTCTCTCTTGGGCTCTGTCCTGACCCCAGTGCTGTGAGGTGAGACACTTCACTGTGTGACCTTGCTCCAATCCCTGAGTGCTTTTAGGCTGACCCTTCCCAAGGGCCTGAGAGAAGGCTGTCCCAATGG